CAGAGTACCATCCAGGTGCACTCCTTATCTTTTAGCTGTTTTTCAGGTTTCTGTGACCAGAAAAAGTCACCTGCCCAAATGTTTGGGGATTTAGGTGCATTAGCTTCATTTTTACCATCTTCTCTTTAGTCATCAATTCTCTTCATCCATGTAACCAGTTTTTCTTGAGGGCCTGCTTTGTGTGAGGCATTACTTGGTATTGTAAGGGACACAGAAATGAAAGTTACCCATCTTGCCCTTAAGTTGCTTATACTATAGAGGAGGAGATAGGCCTGAGAATAAATAACTTTGCTGAATTTATGAGCACGTGAAAAAGGGAGTGGTACTACCAAATGTAAAATAGATAGCTAGTGGGAAGCAGCCGCATAGCACAGGGAGATCAGCTCCGTGTTTTGTGACCACCTAGAGGGGTGGGATAGGGAGGGTGGGAGGGAGATGCAAGAGGTAGGAGATACGGGGATATATGTATATGTATATCTGATTCACTTTGTTATAAAGCAGAAACTAACACACCATTGTAAAGCAATTATACTCCCAATAAAGATGTTAAAAAAAAAAGAGTGGATTTTCCTATAAAATCACAACCAAGATGATCTCTCGCTGGAGAGTGTGCACACTTGCTCTTATGGCTTTGCATCCAGGGGGCCCGGAGCTGCTTCCAGGGACTTAGAGTTGAGGTACCTTTAATAAAATGACCATGATGTTAGCCCTTTCCTTGGGCCTACCACCATTGCACCAAAAGTGGAGTCTCTCTCTACCCTGCCCTAAATTTAAATATAAGTGAAAGATGAAATCAGATTTAGTGGGGACCTTGAAGACTAATTTTCCTAAATGGAGTTCTCTTTCCAAGTTACATGTGAGAGTGTATCATGTAGTTGGTGTGACCTAGGTCCCCCCCCCACCTTTTTTCTTATTCCGATCTTTGGTTTAGAGAGCAGTTTGTGAGGAGACATGAAATATTTCTGGGGACAGCCCTGAGTTGTAGCTTGCTGATTTTCATGTAATTCTTGGCTACTTGACGGTTTGGTGAACTGTTTTCAGGGCAGGAAAAATGAACCTAGCATTTTGGTATAAAAACAAACAAGGCTGCTGTTGTACTTGATAAAGCTGAAGTTGCCGATCCAGCCACAGCACACTAACCATCAGTGACAGCCCCCTGTCAGTGGGGAGTTTCGGAGACCCCTGGACTCTCCAGAGAGGGCAGTAAATGTTTATCCACGAAGGTGATAAATATCAGTGGAGTGATTGATTGTCAGCAGTAAAGGATTTTCTTGTTAGGGGGCAGAGAAGCAAGAGGCAGAAGCCTTAGGAAGCTGTTGTAAACTGGTTTCAGCTTCCGCTACTTTGATTTTTCTCTCGTTTTATTTTAAAAAGTTTTTTTAAAGTTTATTTGTTGTGATTGTTTATGAGCTATTTCTCTCTATATATTTTATTTTATTTATTTTTGGCTGTGTTGGGTCTTCATTGCTGCGCACGGGCTTTCTCTAGTTGCAGCGAGCGGGGGCTACTCTTTGCTGCAGTGCGAGGGCTTCTCACTGTGGTGGCTTCTCTTGTTGTGGAGCACGGGCTCTAGGCACGTGAGCTTCAGTAGGTGCGGTGCGTGGGCACCTAGTTGTGGCTCGCGGGCTCCAGAGCGCAGGCTTAGTAGTTGTGGCACACGGGCTTAGTTGCTCAGCGGCATGTGAGATCTTCCGGACCAGGGCTCGAACCCGTGTTCCCTGCATTGGCAGGCGGATTCTTAACCACTGCGCCACCAGGATTTTTCTCTCTTTTTAAAAAGCTAAGGCTGTACCATTGCCATGGATGTCTTCTCTCCACCTCCCACATCCCCCCCACAAAGTCAACTTCAAGATTTATCATATTTTAGTAGTAGTCATCAGAAAGAAAAGGTATGCTGGTTACAGGTACTCAGTAAATACACACATGTATGCATTGTACCTCCAGCTGATCTTTGCCCATCGTCTGCCTTTCTCAGATGCCCCGTGTGCCCTTGTTTCCATGCTTTCAGTCATGCTTGGCCCTGCTTAATGTGTTCACCTTCTCCCCGCAAACCCTACATGATTTTTAGTTAGCCATCTCTTGGTAAAACTTTCTTTGGCCATTTTGTCCCTCAATAGCTTCCCTTCTTCAAGCCCTTCGTGCATTTACTGCCTCTACTCCTCCCCTCCCATTTGTTGTAGGGTGCCTACGTTTGTCTCTGTGTCTGCTGTCTTTTCTCTCTAACTGTGTAATCGAATAAATCAGTCCTCCAGGGCCAGACCAGTTCATCCAGTGTTGCATCCTTCTCATCTCCATGGTATATCCTGGGTGGCTGGATGCGACTGTGACTATCATGTCACAGAAGAGGGGGAAGTGACGGGTATAATATCAAAATACTGTCTCCATGCGTGTTCAAGCCATTCTGGAGCCACACAGACCTGGTTGTAATGCTGGCTCCACTGCTTACTAGCTGTGTGTCCTTGAACGATTACCTAACGTCACTGAAGCTCATGTTTTTCATCTGTGAAATATGAGATATCAGCGTAGGTTAAGATCCTCCCTCTCTGAAATGTATCATTTGATGTTTAGCAAGTGATTGCAATTGAGGGCTGTTTGCCCAGACAACTTCTGGGAAGACTCAGTACAATAGCAGGAGAGCATCCACAGGTTTTCATGGATGCCTTGTAGAAGAAACAAGCCCTGTGACTTGTAGAACTCCTTGTCCTGCTCGGAGCCCAGGAGAGGTGTGTTTTCTTGCCTTGGCAGGCTTGCTACATGTCTGCCTTTGTCCAGCCCCAGGACACAGATAATCTAGTGTTCTTGGTTTCTGGCAGCTGAGCAGTCCTTAACATTTCTACTTGGCAAGGTTCTGCAAATCTTTGTTCTGGGCTTGGAATTCTTCCTATGGCATTCCCCAAAATAATTACTTCAGGATCCTTTTATTGATGCCAAGCCTGGCATTCATGACGTGACAATATCTTGGTTTGACTTTGATTGTGGCGCTCCCATTGGTTTGGGGTTTGCGTTAGTATTCATTTCTGTGTTTTTTGAGTCAGAACTCTAGGGCAATTAAATGTGCTTGTGCCCAACCCGAGAAAGATAAGAAAGGTCTTTTATTTTTATCTTAGATGTTCTGTGTCGGCCTAGCAGCCTCTACTCAAAACTCCTGGAAATAAAAAGGCTTTAGGTCTGGAGATTATCTCCTGCCCTAGAAGCCTGGCAGTTGTTGTCCTGTTCTGACAAAACCCTCTTTCTTCAGATTCCTTGATTGCGAAATGAGAAACTCGGGGGCCCTCAACCCTAGTCTCCTTTAGCCTCCACTGGCCAGATGACAAGCACTTCACCAGGTTAGTTGAGATCCAAGGCATGGAAGACCTTCCATGCCAGCTTGCTCCTTGTGTGGGGACCCATTGTGTGTTGGGAACATATGAGAACTTCAGGACTTCCCCAGTCATTTACTTCACAGAGCTCAGCCCCAAAGTGGGTCAGAATGGGAGTCCTGGGGCCCCAGCGCCCTGACTCCACCCTTGGGAACACCACTGTCAGATCCGGTATAAGTGACAGTCTTACAGACAGGATTCTGGAGCACAGACCAGGGACATGCATGTCTGCTCAGCGTTCAACTGACCCTCAATTCTGGTTTTTGCCTTATTGGTAACTTCTGGTTTAATATCATGACTCCTGTATTATTGTAAAGGAAAGAGTCTTTGGAGCCAGAGACTTCATTCAAATCCTTGCTCTTCCTCTGCCTACTTCCTCTGCTCTTCCTTGGGCAAGGTCTCCATATGCTTCAGTTTCTGCAACTGAACAATAAAGATAATAATACCTACATCATGGGATTGTTGTCACATTAAGTGAGATGTTGGTTAAATGAAGTCCTAGCACAGAGGCTGGCTTATTGTCAGTAATAAACAAATAACTGTCTCTCCCCGCCTCCTTCCCAGAATTTAAAGATTATAAATGCATAGGCTGCTTAGAAAACGTTGCCAAAAGATTCTTAAATGAAGTACAGTGAAGGAATGAATTCTACTAGCCATGAACATATATGCTTTGCAGTATGTCTTCTTTTTTTTTTTTGGTATTAATTTATTTATTTTTGACTTCGTTGGGTGTTTGTTGCTGTGCGTGGGCTTTCTCTAGTCGCGGTGAGTTGGGGCTACTCTTCGTTGCGGTGAACGGGCTTCTCATTGTGGTGGCTTCTCTTGTGGAGCACAGGCTCGAAGTGCGCGGGCTTCAGTAGTTGTGTTACGTGGGCTCAGTAGTTGTGGCTCGCGGGCTCTAGAGCTCAGGCTCAGTAGTTGTGGCTCGCGGGCTTAGTTGCTCTGCGGCATGTGGGATCTTCCTGGACCAGGGCTCGAACCTGTGTGCCCTGCATTGACAGGAAGATTCTTAACCACTGCGCCACCAGGGAAGCCCCGAACACTGTCTTCTTAAATAATAAGTTAATCCAAAGGATTTCCAGCATTACTATCTTTGTGAGTTCTCTGAACTGGGAAAGAGAGCTCTGGGTCAGTGGAAGGATGTCTCAGACATTGCTTGGGGCCATAAACAGTTGTTAAACTGAAACATTTTTTTTTTTGAATTTTATTTTATTTTTTTATACAGCAGGTTCTTATTATCTATTTTGTACATATTAGTGTATACATGTCAATCCCAATCTCCCAGTTCCCCCCCAGTCCCCCCCCCCCAGTTCATCCCCCTTGGTGTCCATACGTTTGTTCTCTACATTTGTGTCTGTATTTCTGCCTTACAAACCGGTTTATCTGTTCCATTTTTCTAGATTCCACATATATGCGTTAATATACGATATTTGTTTTTCTCTTTCTGACTTACTTCACTCTGTATGACAGTCTCTAGGCCCATCCACATGTCTACAAATGACCCAATTTTGTTCCTTTTTGTGGCTAATATTCCATTGTATATATGTACCACATCTTCTTTATCCATTCATCTGTCGATGGACATTTAGGTTGCTTCCATGTCCTGGCTATTGTAAATAGTGCTGCAGTGAACATTGGTGTGCATGTGTCTTTTTTGAATTATGGTTTTCTCTGGGTATATGCCCAGTAGTGGGATTAAATTGCAACATTTTGACAACATGATCCTGCTCCATCCCAGTTTAGTGTGACTCTTCCTTTTTTTTTTTTTTTTAAATTGGTGAATTCAGCATTGAATTAAATTCTGCATTGTCAGGCAGATGACCAAAACGGTTTGAAGAAGGATTTGACTTAGCTTTGGTCCACCATGTATGAACCTGGATCACTTACATAAAAGAACCCTTTTTTCTCAGACTAGCAGAAATTGCTGATTATCCTCTTGCCTCTTAAATCCCCAAATTGACTGCTGTGTCCCTGGGTTATAATATTTGTAGAGCATGGAGAAAAGTGAACTCGCCTTCCTGGGAATGCCTGCATTTGCCAATTCAGCTTCTTTTTCTCCTCATCCCCCAAATCTTAGCGCTCAGTGAGGGTTGGTCAGGGACTAGGGGCAAGGAAAAGTAGATCAGTGAGAAAGAAGCCATTCTCAGTGATCACTTTGTTAGAGTATATGATGTTGTGCTCGGTGTAATGTTTTGGGTTTAATGCTGCCTTGCACAAGGAACTTACAATCTTATAAGAAGATAAAAGTAGGCAGGTGCTGATTAGAAACACTGTCTTGAGTAGCATCCATAAAAGGATGACTCATTAGGTTGGGAGGAAATTGGGCAGCCTATGTTGCAATTTTGATAATTTAGCTTGAACTTTCACAAGATTATTTTTGGATTCCTAATAATTTTGTTGCAGTTCCACTTATTCAGAGATGACTGCTGATAAATTTTATTTGGAAATGTGGAATATTTCCTTTGCCCATTAGAGCAAGGGTTCTTGACTGTTTTGCTCATGGCGGTACCTCCAGCACCTAGACCAGTGCCCTGGCACGCTGTGGGCATTCAATAGGTGTGGAATGAATGAATGAATGAATAAGTACACTTATGCCATGTACTCTTTCTGTAGAGCTGCAGGTGTCACCTAACTCTCTCTTGTTAGGTAGGTTCAGACCAGAGTTGCCCAGGAGGGGCTGAGGATGCCCCTTCCTCCAGTTTGATTGTCAAAATTAATAATGCTGCATGTGTTTTGGGATGGTCGGCGGTTGCCAGGGAACTGAGGAAATGAAAGGAGGGCGTTGGAAGCAGCCTCTTCTTTCTTGTGCCTCGATGTCCAGGCCTGCCTGTCTGGCAGTTCGGCCTGTATGTGAAGGTAGCAGCAAGGCATGGGATAGACTGGATGACCGTGTCTTGAGAATACATATTTGCTGAAGAATGGCTCCCTAGTCCCCAAACACCTGCAGCAGCAGAAGCCACTTCACCCCTCTTCCCTTCTGCAAAGCAATGAGGCTGTGAGTCATTTTTCTGTGAGCCTCCAGGAAATGGCCCAGCTGGCTTGGCTCATTCATTTCCTTGTCAGGAAAGTCGATGTGACCTTGACCGTCAGTAGACCTGCAGCAAGCACATTTTGTGTCTGGCTGGATTCACTAAGTACTTTTGGCAACTCACCTTGCTGTAAGTGTTATGTACTGCTAATTTATTGTCCTAGGTGGAGGTGAAAGATACTAATTTGCAAGAATCATTTCTGACTTACCTGGGTCTGCTCAGCACAGTGCCAGTCCCATGGGGGCCTTTGATAAGTATCACTGAAAGAAAATTGTTGCAGAAAGTAAAAAGAAAGGAGATATACTTGCTTTGAGTGACAGAAATATAATTATTAGAAAGTAACTTTGGGTTCATAAAGTTCCTCTGAAGATTGTTCTCCTTGAGAGTCATTTCTGCAAGTCCACATCCAAACACGGACCTTAGCTAGTGTTGTCCTTGGTGGAGGATTCAGGACTGGAGGGAGCGCCTGTGACCTGCTGTTGAGGGAACAGTGGCCAGACGAGAGTTGGCTTATACCACTGACTGGGAGAAGTCAGATGAGGACGCCAACCTTATAGAGAGCCGTTTTCTCCATAAACTGAGCTTAGAGAAGAAAGCCTGACAAACCTAAGGTGGTGAACTTTTCAGAAGCAAGAGTTGGTTTAAATATAGATGATCTGCTTCACTGGCAACTTGGAGGCAGCCGTGGGACTTGTTGTACCTTTTGTAAGACAAGTGAGGAAAGATGTTGGCACCTGTACACACAGTTTGTTTATGAAATATAAACTCTCCTGTCAAAGCGAGGGCTTGAGAGGTCAGCGCCCAAGGTAGCAGGTCCTGCCTTCGCTGGGGGAGGGGTGCCTCTCCAACCTGTCTCTGTGAATTGCATCCATCCCTAGAGAAAGTTGAAACAACCAGGCCAGAGTGCACTTTTATTGAGCACCAGCTCTGGCAGGGGTGGGGGGAGGAAAAGTTTCTGTGAAACTGACAGCCCCTGGCCTCCTTTTCTTTCCCAAGGAGGAGAAACAAGACCTTGGGAGCTATTAGAATCCAGTCATTATTCAGAGAAGTGTAGCTCTGTTCAGCCTTAGAGCCTTGATTTATGTACAGCCCAGCCTGCTCAGAGCCGATGGGAGCGGGCAGCGGGCAGCAGCCCCCATCCTCCTCCTGCTGTGGGCTCCAGCCCTAGGTGGGTCCAGGGCAGGCCTTCATAGGTTTGCAGCACATCCTTCTCAGTATTCCACAGCAGCAGCTGTCTGGAGTTTTTTCTGCCGTGCCTGAACTGATGTCATTTCCCCCTTGGCAGACAGCTTCAGCTTTGCTGCGTCTGAGATATGTCACGAGAAAGTGGGGGTGGGTCGGAGCCAGGCGGGGGGGTGGGAGGCTGGTGGGGGGAAGCAGTGAGGAGAGCAGGAGGCAGAGTGCCTGCTTGGTCCCAGGAGTCTGTTTACTTTCTCTTCTTTGCTAAGGAAGGCCGGTTAACCGGGACTGCTGAGTACCAGGCCCACCAGGGAAAATTTTGCTCATTCCAAGACCGTAACTTTTAAAAAGCCCTTTTTTCCCAACGTTAGTGTGGACGATGCTCTTGCAGGATGCCTTTCCTTTTGGGTCTTAGACAGGTAATGGAACGGGTGGTCCGTGGATCGGGTTCGGGAAGGGAAGACGGGTGGGAGTTTTTATCATCCTGCTGCTTTGGGCGGAGGGAACCTTTTAGAAAATGTCTTGCAGTTAAAACAGGCCAGCTCCCACAGAATTTTCCAGTCTTCCTTTCCTGCCTGCTAGTTGCTCCTTATTCCCAGAGCCACCGTGTCTTAACCCCTTACCTCACCGAGGTCTCTCTGGGGCCCTCCGTTCTGATTTTCCTTTAGCACCATAAAACCGTTACCAGAGCCTTAGGGAGGAAACAGTTGAGTGAGGCTGGGGAGGGGGAGAGGCAGAGCGGGATTCTTGATCAAAACCCCTTTTATTCCTTCTCCATTTTGATTTGGCTAGTTAGCAGAGATTTCTTCACAGTTCCCTGGTTCTGAAGAGATTCTGAGTTGGGGTCGGAGCCTTCTTTTACAGGGTAGGGCGCCCGGAGGCTTTCTCCTCCTCAGCGTGTGGTCAGGACTGTGTGACTGAGGGACAGCCTGAATGCCTCAGAGGGGTGGGGGTGGCAGTGACCACAGTTTGGCCTTCCTGACCGATTTTTCAAAGCCAGCAGACCCCTGTGGCAGAAACTCGATTGCTTTGCACGCGGCTGTTTGAAGTAGGGGCACTGAATTATAGCCGATAACCTGGTATGGAATGAGAAAACAGTAGCGAGCGACCAACTGCGGTCTTCTGAGAACACAGCTGTTGCCAACTATTTGTTCCAGGGCTTCTGAGAGCTGGCCACCCCTGCCCCCTCTTTGGTCTGAGAGGCACGTCTGTATCGGAATGTGTAACTGTAACCAGTGGCGGCTGTAAGAGGGGGTGGGGACAGACACACACCCTCTACTGCCTGTTCCTGGGGGAGGAAAAGCCACAGATGTGATCAAACCAGAAGCCTTAGCAAAGAAAGTCACTGCTAGGGACTGCTGGTTTAACCTCAGTCTTAGAAAAGTGCTAGTCTCCCTTGGATTGCCTGAAATTCTTTTAAAAGTAAGCTTTTCTGAAAAGCTCCGCACGTTCCATTACTGCTCTTGTTAATCTTCAGAGTTCCTTTGATGCAGCCGATAGGCAGAGCGTTGGGGGCCCTTTTTGAGCACCTCCTCTGCCCCTCAAGAAAGACTGTCCTTTTAACCCATGGGCAGAGTAAGCCCTGGCAAGGATTTTGAGCAGCGTTGGAAATAGGATGGATGAAGCATCCCATGTTATGTCAGCAGGCAGGGGATAGCGGCTGGAAACTGCCTGATACAGTGGAAAGAGCAGGGCTGAGGAACCAGAAAGACCCAAGTCTATATCCTGGCTCCCCACCTGGGTCTCAGAGGCTGCTTAACTGCTCTGAACCTCATCTTTGAAATGGAAACAATAAAACCTACTGGAAGAGTCATTGGGAAGATTTCACAAAAGAATATTTAAAACACTAGCCCCTTGGCTGACTGAGAATAGGCATTTAGCAAAAAACGTAAAGAAACAAGAAGCTAGAGGACTGGTTCCTTTACAGAGGTGAAGGATATAGTAGGCAGGAGCTCTTGCCCTGGGATTTGGCCATTGTGCATTGACTGAGACTTGGGAGGCCACGACTTACTGTACCAGTGTAATTTACTATCAGTCTTGCTCGTGTCCAGTAACCTCTGCTCAGTTAAGTGAAAGGATGCAGAGGTAGGTGGAGTGAAGAACTGGGTTGGTTGTGGGGAGCATCTCGGAGGATCCACAGCAGGTGAATCTTTGTTCTTGTTTCTGAACGGGTTCCTGATAGAGGGCCGAACTAGAGGACCTCTTGAGGCCCTTTCTGCCTTAGGCTTCTGTGATTCAAACTTTGCCTATAAAAACCCTGAGTATTTTTGGTAACATAATTTTGTATATTTCTAGCATTTCTGTGTCTGACAGTGTAACTGTTTTTTATTGGAGCTATGTAAAAGCCAGCCTTCTAAAGATTACTTGGTGATAATTCTGTTTTTAAGAAAATGGCACAAAACATATATGCTGTTAGTCTTTATCATACACAATATATATATGTGCTTTCATATATTATTTCCCTCTTAATCCACATAACACCCCTATCTTACGTGGTAGTGTGATTCTGTTTCTACAGAAGTGCATCCTGAGGCTTACAGTAGGTAAGCTACTTGTCCAGAGTTGCTCAGCTAGCTAGGGAAATGGTCATCGAAGTTCTGTTTGTTTGTTTGTTTGTTTTAAACCCAGGTTTTTTAATTCCAAAGCCTGGTGTTTTTCTCACTACCTATCAGTGTCTGTGAAAGTGGAGTTGGATTAATGCCTTGTTCCAGTTGGGGCATGTTTTCGGAAGGTTGTTTCTAGGTGGCCCAGGTACCAGATGAGACATTTGTCTCTGAGTGCCCTTTTCCATTTTACCCTGTGGGAGATTCTCATGCATGCAGCATCTACTGAATAAGGCCTCTGCACTTAATGAATGTGAACCCGGCACAAAGGATAAATAAAGCACAATCCTTACTTCCGAGGAGCTCATACTCTAATGCAGTAGTTCTCAAAATGCAAAAATCACCTGGGAGTGGGGCTTATTAAAATGTAGATTCAGTAGGTGTGGGCCCAGGGCCCAGGAATCTGCATTTCTGTTGTGTTCCCCAGGTGGCCCGGACCCAGGCGGTGTCTGGCCCCACTCTGAGCAAACCCCACCCCCACCTGCACTTTAGTAGCTGGGAAATAATTACATGACAATGTGCTAAAGCCCGAAACAGAGGATCCCCAGGGACTAGGACAGCAGAGGGTGGGAAAGCATCTAAATCAGGCTTGGGGAGGGGGGTGGGCATGGAAGGCTTTCCTGAGAAGGTGATATCTGATCTGAGTCTCAAAGGATGAGTAGGAGTTTACCAGACATATGAGCTGGGGAAAGAGCATTCCAGACAGATCAGGTTGGGAGTGTTGTTTTTGTTTTCTCCTGCAGATGAGAAGGGAAACTCATCTGTGAGTCTTGGTATTAAGTATGCCTGAGACAAAACAAAGACCTCGGTTCATCGAGTATTGGTGTCCTCTATGACACTGAGAAAGAGGGAGGCATGAGGGACCTTCAATCTAATAATGAGTGTGGCATGAATTCAGTGTCTGTGAAGGGCAGATAGGCCTCAAGGCTGTATTAGTTCTTCCAGTCAAGGGACAGTTAAGACAGCCCCCTGGAAGCTACAGTGTTGTCTAGAGAACAGTCTTTTTGTGCTTAATGGGGCTGAAGTTTGGAAGAGAGTCAGCTACTGAACTTTTGGGCTATGGCACCACGTGCCAGATTTTAGATACAACACACAGTTGAGCATGCCATCCCTTCATTATCTGACAAGATTAGAAAATGAGTTTTCTGGTTAAGAGGGAATCCATCCTGTATACCTAACAGATGGATCACTGATTTTCAGAGAACAAGATTGCAACAGAATGTTCTTGGTCTGCTGATTTGAATGAATTCTATTTCATGTTTAATTCAGAAGGTATTGATTTTATAATGCTGAAGGATTCTTATGACTAACATCTATATCTGAAAAGTATTGAGCACCTGTTCTACTCAAAGCACGTTGTGGATACAAAGAGGTATCAATAGAAACTATCCATGCCCTCACAGTCAGGCAGGTGGTGTAGAACAAGCAGGCAGGTGATGGAACGTTAGGCAGGTGGCGGTGGGCGAGTGACACTAGGAATGGAGTGGTACAGTTCAGAAGTGTGGAAAGGAGGCTTTTGCAGGTGGTCCTTTCCACAGTCCAGTGGTCTCAGTTGTTGCACTGTAGGTATGTGGAAGGACCAGTTGATGGCAAGTTCTAGTTGCTGGAATGCAGGCTAGATCCGTCAAGACAGGAATTTATATCCTGTACCTCGAATGTTGCCTTTCTCTGTGGGAAAATTATCCCCCAAATTGCCCTCACTGATGAAGTGAGATGATCCCTGATACTGAAATGAGTAGTCCCCAGTGAAAGTGGGGTGGGTCTGGGGCCCGCTCAGGCAGTGTGCCCTTGCCCAGGTTGGAATGTATGGGTAGAGGCACAGGGGGCTGTTTGTATTCTTGAAAAGGCCCCTGCTTGGCCTGGTGCTGAATGTGACAGGGCAGCCAGAGTGTTGAACCCCAGTTACTCCCTGGACACAGGGAAGGCAGCCTGGAGCTGCAAGCGCGGGAGCCGTGCCCAGGGAGAGGGCAGATGGAATTTTCCAACTTCCAATTTAACCCCTACACTGCTGAATATCAGCCAACGTTGACATGATACTTTGATTATTTTGTCACGACAGCCACCCATCAGGTAGGAGGTCTTATCTCCTTTCACCTGTGAGGCAGCGGAAAGTCAAGAAATTATCTATTCGAGATCACAGAGCTAACGTGTGGCAGCGGTAGCTCTGGAGGCCACGTCTCCTCAGTGCTGTCCTGCTGTTGCACATCGCTGGTAGGGTTCCTGCACCAAACCTGCTGCCAGACCTTCTCCCTGCGGCCCTGTTCTCTGCACGGGACTGAGTGTTCCAGTCACCATTACCCTCCTATGTGTGCTGATTTTAATTAAACTCTCTACCAGGTTCAGGACAAAGTAAGCAAGACCCTGCTGGAAGGGAACTGGCTGTATATAAATGCAGCAAACACCAAGTAACACTTGTTTGTACTACCAGAGGTGTACTGATTTGTAAAAATGAGTGAAAACTACAAGCGACAGCTCCGTAGAACACCTCAGTTCCCTATAGTCACCTAACAGAAAGGATGGTTCCCGTCCAAGCCCTTTCAGGTGACTTTTTAAACACCGCCCCCCCCCAACCATCTGTTGCAAGAAGCTGCTTTTTTAAGAGGAATGTGCTTGTTTTTCATCACATTCTTGTTATCAAAGCAAAGAGAAACCAGTGGACTGGAGAGTAACTTGGTGGAAAAGAAGACTGTATCTGCTGATTTTGAAACTTTTATCCAGGATGGAGCCAAAGAAAACATTCACTTCCTCCAGTAATATCCCATGAGTTTGATCCACCCCCTCCCACCCCTTTTCCTTGAAGAGGTAAATTTTAGTCC